CATTTTCATCTCCTGGCCAGCATTCCCCCAGATAAAATTAGCAATTCAGAGCAATTTGTGCACAGCAATGTTCCACAAACAACCATCTGGAGTCCTGTAGCTCAGTGGTTAGAGCACTCGGAAGACCTGGGTTCTATTCCCTACAGGGCGAAATACTGGGCAAGTTTCCTTACTCCGCACCCTCTGTTTACCTAGCAGTAGGAACCCAGTTGTTAGTGGATTGGCGGATCGCTTTTTCGGGGATAATAATCCCTCAAAACATATAATAATTTGGTCACTCAATCCACGACTGTTTGTGGAACATTCCTGTGCACAATTGACTGTCGCGTTTTGCCCACAAATATACAGTCAATTCACTTTACTGTGTATTCTGTGAAGCGCTTTGAGATGTCTAGAAGACGTGAAAAGCACCATACCAGATGCAAGGATTATTATTAATAATTTCATGGATGTCTGTGGAACATTGCTGTGCACAAATTGCCTGCCTGTTTGCCCACAAAATACACTTTACACCAAAGATTCTCTGGAATCAGATAAACGGGGTGCTTTCCTTCAAGGAGAGAGTGTGCACTCTGTTCCAAACACAGAGACATTTCCTTGTGTAGGTCGTATGTGGAATTCTCAGTCTGGTTTGGATACTCTTAAGCACTGTGATGGGTTTCCACATAAGTTAGTCCAGCTAACAAAAAAAAATTGAATTGCAGAAAACCTACCCCTCTGAGTATCCATCCTCTAATTTAGAATCACAAATCTCAACTTTCAGAAGTATCTTATGCGCTTCCCAGTGATTACGAATCTCCACATTATAGTCATGGAAATATGCAGAATAATATATCTAATATATGTGACAAAAGTAAGCAGTTTGAATGAAGCAGTCATTGTCATCTGTCACGCTTCATGTGTAAGCCATGTCCCTGTCTTATCCACCTCACTATCGGCAGGCGAGCTTTACGCCATTTACGTCTGGAATTTTGTCCTGGAGACCCTTTGACTCGCTCCCTCCCTACCCTCATAAAACTTGAAAACGCTTTCAGGCATTTTCCCCCTCCCCACCCCATTGGCTTCAAGCCCCACCCCACCTCAGGTACCCACCCAGCACCGTCAAATGATTTGAGACGCTCTCTTGACGTGATCAGTGCTCTATAAATATAAATTGTATATTGTGTGTGTATAGTTGTAAACACAGCTGCATTATGCACCATGTGTAAACTTATGTGCAGAAGGGATTACATGTCCCTTTAATTATGCAATTAACTAGTTAAAAGAGCATATTAATTATCTAATTAACAAGAAATTCTTTAATTGTTTTTTAATTAAATAATTAAGGCCACCTTTAATTCCCTCAGTTACACAAGTTTATACATGTCACAAAATGTGTGTTTATACATGGCCCACAATAGACCCCACCCCGTCTGTGCTCTTTGAGAGCCACTGACTAGCTGTGTGGTTGATCAATGCACAAAAGTATCCCATCATTCTCAACATAAAATACGATAATCCACATTGTTTAAAGTATGCAAGATGAAAGCCACAAAATTACAAGAGAAAATCAACTGGAAGGGGTTCAGAGGCCCAATATTTCACATTGTAAGACCATCTGTAAATCCATTTTATCACACGATTAGTTTGGAGTTTCATCTTGACCTTTCAGAATACTCACGCTACTCCTGTCTTCCTGTTTTCAACATCCAACATTTTAAAAGAGTCCGTAATACTGGTCTCCAGCAGCCTTTCTGGCAAGTTGTTAATTACTCTCCGGATAAAGAAAATCTTCCTGGTATCTGTATTGAAATTGCCCTTTGCAACTCTAAATCAATGTTCTCTTGTACTGTATTGGTGCATTTCAAAGTATTGTTTGGAGCTTTGCATTTTCAATCGTAGTTAATATACCAATTTAAGATTAGATAGAGTTGTGGAAAACAGTCTTAATTGTTTGGAAGCTATTTTTTTCAAGAACTGCAGAAAACCTGCTTCAAAGTATGACTGAATTTAAGAATGTGAAATTTTAGGTAAAAATGGTCCTACAGTTATGATACAGTCAGAACTCCTGATTTAGACTACTTTTAATCTACTCCCACAAATTTAGCATCCACTTCAAATCTGTTACATCCATTGTTAGGTAAAGCCAATTTATTTTGGTAGATGACTGCAAAATAGCCCAATTCACTCTCCAAATAATGCTTATTTACTTTAGCAAAACTTGTTTACTTGGTGGGTTTAATTCACTTATAGGAAGCAATGTAACAGTTGCAATATTAAGTGTTTATCTTGCTCCTGATAAGAATAATCAATAACCGTCTGTGGGATGAGATCTCTGAAGCATAAAATCTGGGTGATATGCTCTGGGAAATTGTGAGTTTCTTTCAGATATAAATGCAGGTGATGTTATGTTGAAGCGACATGTTCCTTTGAAAGATGTGTTACAAGTAGTGACTTGAAGAGTAAGTATCCAGGCTGATGTTGGCTGATGAAGGTGAGGTGACCTTGTACACTTATCTATTCCCAGTTAGGAGAGTGGGTGACAGCCTGGTTATAATGATCCATTCCAGCCATACGGCTACGATACAACCTAAATGACACTGCTTATTATTCCTGCTTCTTATCCTTGTTTTAAATCACTCTGTATGATTATTTTCACCATCACTTTGAATTGACTTTTAACATCTACGCAGCCGGTTCCAATTCCGCTATATCTCAACTAGAATTCTAAAGAAAATACATTTATCCTTGGTTAATCAATTCCTCCTTTGTGTACTTGTTAAGTATAAACGACTTTTAAGTTTATAGATATTTTCAGTCATTTTTAAGAAGGGAAGGGGCTGGTTGGTGCTCAGATATCCGAAATTTGATGTATTCCATTGAAAGTGAAGGAGGCACAGTACACACTTGTACATGAGAACTGAGCATTGACTACAGTTAGACACTGGTGATTTGAAGTATGTAATAGAATGCAGTTTTATCAACGTGCATAGCCAATGCACCAATATCTCCAGGTTATTCTGCCCATTTACCAATGCTAACTATTTTACTGATGTTAACTATTTTAACCATTCATTTCATTGCTCATTAAACAACTACCGACTAGTTACAAACAAACATACAACTCTAAATTCTTTCCTTATATATCAATATAAATCAATGTTGGAGTGAGCAGCTACAATTGCACAGCTTTGTACAAATGGGATGAGGAGACCCAAGGATAAATTGGCAAGAGAATGATCCCTTAACACAAAATGAAACCGAGTCTACTAATAAGTCTACTAATCCACCCCTCCCCCATGCTGAGATCCTGACCCCTGACTATCCAGCGCCTTGGGGCGTCCTCCCGACGTAGAAGGTGCTCTATAAATGTAATTTTGTTGTTGTTGTTGAGTGAGTCCACAAGTGGCAACCATAAATACAGTACATCTATAGCCTAGAAATTTCTGGTTAAGGAAAGTGAGGGACAAAATGATATAAATAATAAACAAACAAAACATTTGATTTCTGCAGTGCAGCATGCCTTAAATTTGCTTTTCTTAAGTTTTTGTTGTGCTAAGAGTTGAAAGTTGCTGAACTAAGTTGCGTGCTGTTTTTATGCTGGTGACATTTTATTCCAGTATAGTAGCCACAGGCTCAATGCTCACTTATCTCTCTGTCTCACTGGTTGCTGCCTTCATATGCTGCAACCCACAACCACTCTTCACAGCTGCAGTAAAGAGTCAATCTGGTGTCTTCCCAGAACTGTGAATTGTGGTGGGAGTTTTGCCAAATGTCATCTTTAGTAATAAGTGAGTTAACGTGAGTGAAAATCCCCACTTACACTCTAGCTCCAACTTCAAGTCTTTAAAACACATTGCATAAAAAGTGTGAAGCGATTACCAAAATTGTAGCTGCTGGTACAATCTCCTACCTCCTGAAAATCAGTTTAAACTTGGCTCAGGTTTAGGTGTTATTGATTCATGGTGCTGTAAACAAACTGTTTCAAAATTTCACTTGCCTCCTTTCCCACTCTGCACCATCATATGTGCATTGGGGTGCAATAGGAATTGATTTAAGATAAAGGAAGAGATTTAAGTTGATTACAAAAAAAAAGGGCAAATGGAAACCTGTCCAACAAACCTCAGCTAAGGATAACCCTGGAAATGTCCCCAAATATTCTGGATTTAGCAACAAAAATATACTATTGTGCATAATAGATTACTTCTGCTCTGTTGTCTTCAATTGAAATTATTAATAAATATAATCCTTACATTTGATATTGAGCTTTTCACATCGGGAAGACGTCTCCAAGTGCTTCACAGAATTTACTGTGAAGTGACTACATTTTTGTTGATCAGACGGTGCTTGACCATTGAGGAAACCCATCACTATGCTTAAGAGTAAGAGTATGTAAACCAGACTGAGAGTTCCATGCATACCACCTACACATGGAAATTCTCATGTATTGGATTGGAATGTGCAGTCTCTCCCTGGAGGGACACGCCTTGCTTACATAATTCCAGAGATTTCCCCCCCCCCCTACCACCAGGAGGAACTGTGTACTCTGTAGGTGATTGTGGCAATTAATTTGCAAGCAATAATCCTAAATTTACAATTGCCTACAAAAACCACACTCCCTATAGGTTACAGTAAATCAGGTAAATGACTTTGACATGTTCTTCCTACCTGAAAGGCGCTATATCAAATGCAAGGATTCTTCTTCTTATAAAAAGCCATGAAATATATGACAAATTTTATTTGAGCGGTTTTTGGCCAGGACACTGGAGAAACAATAAAGCCCTGGGATCTTTGACATCCATCTGAGTAGGCAGACTGAGCCTCGATTTAACATCTCATCTGAATGTAGGATTAGAGACAATAGAGAAAAATTATGTCTTTATCAATGGATGCCGTGTTATAAAAAAAATCCCAGTAAGGTTACTGGAAGGACAAAATTAGACAATAGCACAAAAAGAATAAGTTTTAGTTGTTAACTTTTAAGGACTGCTCTGTGTCATTATTGTGTTGTCTTTGTATAGGGATGACTGGCCACACAGAAGTAGTGCGTGTTGTGTACCATCCAGAAAAAATCTGCTTTGAGAAGCTGCTGAAAGTCTTCTGGGAGAACCATGACCCAACACAGGGTACAGTAATGAATGAACCAGCTCCTCATTATATTCCTAATCACTGTTGTGGTAATTAGTGTTTCAGTAACATGTTTGAAATGAACCTTGAAACCACATGTGGTCCGAGAGATGTGTGTGCATGTGTGTGTGGAAGAGAGAGAGAGAGAGAAAATGGACAGACGGAGAGAGAAAAAAAATTGAGACAATTGAACCAGAAGAAAATGTGACTGTTCAGTGCAGACAATGCTTTAAAGAGACAGTCCTTGGCTGATCACAAAGCTGCACTGACATCAGTCCTGTAGACAACTGCAAAGCAGCCCAATTCACCCTCCAGCTAATGCAGGTTGTGTGTTGGTGAGTGGTATGAAAGGAGGGGGGAAATGTTTTTAAAATAAGAGACTGCCACGCTTTTGTTGATTTGTATGGGCCCTAAATCAAGTCCAAATAACATTTGTGTTTATTAACCGATGTCTTGTCATAAAATTCGTATAAGGTTATAGCACAAATTAAATTGTGTGTGTGTGTTTCTGTATGTGTGTGTGTTTCTGTGTGTGTGTGTTTCTGTGTGTGTGTGTACCAGTGTTGATGAAAGGCTAAATTGGTGGAATTAACCCCGTGAGTACCGAATTTCATTGCTGCTCTCAAATAAGTCTCCTGTTTTTTGAACTATATTAAATCCCCCAAAATTGATATTGCAACGATGGATGTTTAATAAAAGAGAACCTAGATATGAGTCAGATCACAAACTATTTCTATACTCACAGAATAAACTTGTGTGCGTGTCATTTGTAAACACTGGCTGTCATTTTAATAAATAACCTTGTTTTTATTAGATTCTAATCCAAATTCACCAATGACTTTTTCTCATCAGGGACTGGACTCTTTTTAAAAACCTAATGATTTAATATAGTACATCAGAAATCTAACGATTCCATCATTGAGATCCCATGGTACGAGCTGAAATGAGAGGAGAGTTTCTCCTAGTTTCCTGGCCAATAATCCTCCTGATAAAATTGGTTATTCACTTCATGGCTGTATGTGAGACATTGCTGTGTGCAAATTCGCTGCCATGATCACTTATACAGTCACTACATTTCACAGTAAAACTCCTGTGAAGCATTTGGACATTTTCATAATGTAATAGGCATTATTATTATTATTATTATTATTATTATAATCTCTATAGTAAATGATTTTCATTAGCCAAATATTTTAGGGAAATTGTTTTAGTGATTTTTGGGGAATTTTTTTCCTCCTTTTTCTTCAATTTATTAAGTGAAGCCTGAAAGTATTCACAAGGAGTGGAATTGCTGTCTCCCAGCAATCAATTGCAGGTTAAATGCTACCCATGTTGTAGTGATTGCACCACAGATTTACTCCTTCAGTGAGGACGTCAATATTTGATCAGTTGGCTGTTGATTTGCACTGTGACTCCCACATGTAGCACAAAAGCCAAAACAAAGACAAAAATGAAATAATTCCCTTACACCACCCACCCCCTCCCCCTCCTCCGCACACATAGACCCACACAAACATGTATATATTATAAAAAATTGTTTGCATCTCCAATTCAAACAACATAAATTTCTGGTGCTTTGCTCTTAGATTTTTCTGGCATGTGATCCCTCAATTTAATTATTTATTTGTCGAGTTTTTCAATCGAACTCAGGCTTTCATTCCTTCTGCAGTTTGCAGGCTTTTAAAATCCAAGCTTGGTGTCACATATTCACTATTTCTTGATTTATCTTCCCTTCTCTCCTACTCTTTGCAACCTTGGCCATGTTCCGCACTAAGGACCTTGGCCTTTCACCTATGCTTAATTGGTTATCCCTCCTATCCATTATTCTCTGGGTAGTAATGGTACCTTATGTCATCATCGCAGAGGACAAATTGGACATTGGATCATCTAAAGCTTAAAATCACAATTTTGCTCAATATTTGTGTTTGACTTTTGACTAAAATAATACGGAGAAAGGATGACAGTGAAGTGAAAATGTGCTCAGCGAAAAAAACAAAGTAATGCAACGATGCAGGAAAAAGTACCTTTGGTCATTAAGTTCATCCCCTGCAGTGAACACTGCATACTTGACTGTGACCTTAGCTATGACTAGGGATTAGCTTGAAGTTCCCAATGGCAACGACATGGGGCTCTGTTCAGGAGTCGCACTTTACATCCGCAGACATTTTCCGGCAGTTATTCCACTTCCATTTCTTTCAACTTTTGGACCCTTCTACAGAATAATAATAATAATCCTTGCATTTGATATAGCGCCTGATCACGTCTTCAAGACATCTCAAAGCACTTCACAGAATATAGAACAGTATATTTTGTGGGCGAAAGAAAATATCTGTCATACATCTCAGAAGGATGAGGAGAATGAGAGAACAGAAATGAAAGATGACAGGCGTAAGAAAAATAAAGTATTATGTAGGCAAATAACATTATTCATACAGAAAAGTATTCTTGCCAATAACTAATAAAAACTATGAAAAGAGAAATGATGGAAATCCACAGCAACTCTGTCAGTACCAGAAAGCAAAATATTGTTTAGAATTTAGACTCCACTCTTAGAAGTGTTAGGCTCATTGGAAGTGAATCTTGGGAGGTGGAAACTGTTATATAGGACAGAGGACTACCACTCAGGAATAAAGGTGTATGTTAATGCAGGTGTTCACCCATCTCAAGGAAAAAATGTGATCTGAAATGTGATTTTCTTTTGTCAAAACACAGACAAGTAGTTTCATAGTTTGCAATCTATTTTGTATTTGATCTTCAATTCTGCTAGCTGCAAAAAATGTTTCCTAGATAACAATGTAATGTCTCTATAGCTCTGGCATTTTAAATTTTGCATGACTGCTTATCCCACCTCCGTGTGGTGCTTTTTATTCCAACACGATTCTTAGTGCTATCACTTACCTAATGCTTTGTGAGTTGATATGAATGTTGGTCATAGATGTACAGTTACTTTAAATCCATTCTATTCTTCTCCCAAAGACCCCTTTTCTGGAACTATTAACATTTTCAAACACCCACCAATTATGCCTTGGGCACAACTGTACCTTTCAGCTTCTTCACATCACACTTTGCTGTTGAAGGCCATTTCTTTATTTAACAAGCTTGATGTAAAGCCTTGTGACAAATAGTTCATGGTCACTTCCTGTCTTTTTTTCTGCTTCGCACATAGGAACATCAAAGATTCATCTTCTGCAGCACTTTATCACTGAGATGCGATCAATCTGGTTGTGAGTGCTTCCATCTGGACACTTTCAGCCTGCCATGTGCATAGTTGCACCATTCTGCCAGTCAGTTACTGGAGCTGAATTACTCATAACTGTATCACTGTCATCAACTTTTCTGAGTTTCAAGGACAGGCATCATTAGCTGTGCTAACTTTCATGTGAATATATTTATATTAAGGTGTGGGACTGTATTTCTCTGGTGCATGTCACAGAAGTTAACTGACCTGAAACCTGTATCTTTTGTTGGTCTCACTATCACTGTCTTTATTGTAATTCAGGCTAAATCTCACCATCAGTAGTCTCCCATCAACACAAAATGTCAAATGTCAGGGGTTAGGCAATAGCTTTACTAGATAGTAATAAGAATGTTCATTCTGATTGCTCTTTATCCTGACTTCCTGGTGTGTCAAGATCCATCCCCTAAATGTTTGCTTCTATGCCCCGAGGCTCTGGAATTCCCTTCCTCACTCCCTTCGCCTCGCTCCCTCTCTTTCTATCTCTGCTGAAGACCTTTCTCTTCGACCGCGCCTTTGGTCACTTTCCTCCCCCTCACCTGGCTCGGCGCCGGGATCCGTTATTGTAAAGCGCTCTGAGACTCCGTCCGGCGTGGAGGGTGCTATATAAATCCAAGTTGTTGTTGTTGTTCTTCTTGTTTCTAGATCATTTAACTTCCCAAACACTAAGCAGGAGAAGATGATAGATATCAGCCTACATTGTTCATCTGTCATTTTCCCGCTCAGTAACCGCTCTAGGGTTTTCATTGGTAAACATACATAATTCTAAATGTAATAGAAGTGTTTACTGTTCTTGTATGGCTTCTGTAACTGAATACTGATTCACCGCATGAGGCTGTGCAACTTTGCCAACAATGCCAAGTGAAAGTTATTATTATCCTCTCTGACATGAGTAAGAGATTAATTTACAGAAAATGTGTTTATGAGTGCTACTTCCTTTGATATCTCCTTTCTCACTGCTTCTTAGCATGCTTTTCCTCCATCTCAGCACTGCCTCTCATCCTGTTGAGCTTGCATTGGGGAGAGGTAGGGAGTGATAGTGAAGAAAGAAGTCAGGTGTGAATGGTACAGGTGGAGGTAGAATTTGGAGCTTACAAAGTCCTGTAGCTCAGTGGTTAGAGCGCTCGCCTTGCAAGCGAGACACCTGGGTTCAATTCCAGGCAGGGCAAGTTTGAGTAAGTTTCCTTACTCCACACGCCTAATAATAATCCCTCCAAAAAACAACAATAAATTGGTCATTTTTAATCCACGACTGTTTGTGGGACACTGCTGTACGCAATTGGCTGCCACATTTTGCCCACAAATATACGGTCAATTCACTTTACAGTATATTCTGTGAAGCGCTTTGAGACATTTGGAAGACGTGAAAAGCGCTATATCAAATGCAAGGATTATTATTATTATGAAGACTCTCTTCAGCTTTCCCTCAGGAAATGGAGTGATGGGGTGAAGTGGTGCTAGACATAACTTTTCTCTGGACTGAGAAGGGACCTGAGGGACCAAATGCCATTTTTCATTCCATACTTTCTTATAGTGTCACTATAGTCCCCTATTACAGTACTGCAATCGATGTTGGACATGGCTTTCCTCAATTACTCACTTTCACAGTTTAGATCCTGCTCCCGTAATAAAAAAACACACTTTGAAAAAAAATCCTGCATTCCTTGAATTCTAATACCCGTGCATCCAGTTCTTCTCCAAATAGAAGATGGCTACTACTCTCTTATATCTGCTGATGTGATCCGCTTCCCTGGGGAGATGTTC